TTTTGGCTGTGAAAATAGACAAAATTATTTATATATATGATAGTCTACTATGGTTTAAGACCACAATGAATTGCATGATTAAATGTGGTTAATCACAATTAATTTAATTGCTTGAAAGTCCTATAAATATGAATAAGTAATAAGTAATAAAATAATGAATATATTAGATTTGATATCAGGATTATACTAGTAAATTGCTCAAAATCTTAGCTATGTCCTCTAAGGTTTCTACAGTGATAGAAATATTTTTTCATAATTATGAATTTAGCAGCAAATCAGGTCAAACTACTTCCCTCATGGAAGAATAAACATATGGAAGGTATTACATAGAAAAGCAATTGAAATAAAAGAATAAAAATGAGACACCTCTATTCGTTTCTGGAGAAGAACAGGATTATGGAATCTGGAAAACCAAACACACATGCAAGAACAAACATAGGATTAAGATCAACCAAAAGAAGTAACATGTTTGGGTCTCTCTTTTAATTGGTAAAAATGCCCATGTTTTATTTCATGAATCTAAGTAAACACACATGGCAACAATCTGGCCATGTTCCACTACATGGTCTGTTCCTATGCCAAAACAACTGGGTACATTATTGTTGGAAAGCAATCATGAAATACAAAGTATACAGTGTCAAAACAGAAAATTCATGTATCCATTTGCACAAAGCACAGTGCATGGTTACATAATAAAAATGCCATCTGTTTATGCAGCTATCCCAATGTGCCTCAGTTTCTCTAACTGTACAGTAGGGATAATAATACTACTACACAGGGCCTTGTGGGGTATAATTAATTTGTTATTACCAGTAATCATTATGATTGCAATGTGCACTGTGGTTATTGGATGAAAGGTGCAATAACATGAGTGTAGTTATAATAAAAAACTGTTTAGGGATATAATGTACAGGTGGCCCCCACTTTGTGACAGCCCAATTTATGACCCCCCACATTTACAAGCTTTTTGTAAGTGCAGAAGGGGCCGAAATCCCCCGACTTATGTCCTCGGCTCCACATTTACAATGGCATATGACACCTGTCATAAATGTAGATTCGAGTTACGACATCCCCAACTTGCGACGCTATCTCCAGAACCAATCATGTTGCAAGTCGGGGGCAGCCTGTAATGATAACAGAACAGAAATATGGAGCCTGAACTTATATTATTGGTTTGAATTTTGCCTCAGATTAGTAGTAACTTGAAAGCTATTACCAGGCAAGTTATTTTGTAGCCTGTGAAAAATCAGATGACAAAATCCCCTTCCTACTCTAAGGGTACGTCTACACTGCAACACTATTTTGAATACCTAGGATCAATGGTGCTGACAGTGGTTCCTCTCTATGTGATGCCTAGCATTATATCAAAGCTGCTTGGTATAAATGGAATGGTAGGAATTGACCTCAGTTCTGTGTGATAAAAAATACCAATACAATTAAAAGGTAGGGTGTAAAACTGTAGTTCAACCCATCTTAATGTACAGAATAGAGTTTTGGCCAGACACAAAAGAAATCAGTGTGCTCTCCACTGTAGAGATGAAGGCAATTAAATGATAGGCAATTAACTGAAATTATGAAGGGCCTAATGAGGGTTGTCCCAGTTGAAGACAAGTTCAGAACATTGGTATGGACCAGTGTTCCCCCTAATCTTTTCCATCTATGTGTGAAATAATTTTTATGTGCACCGAGGCATGTGTGAATGTGTACCACCAGTAGAAACAAAACCTAGCTGTGGGCATTTTGTTAATTATCTGGGCAGCATTTGAATCTCTCCTGAGTGACTGCACAAGCACATGGCTTACAAGGAACACTGTTATGGACATGTCTAATGGAGAGCTGACAGTTATGGTACAATGGTCCTTGCGCTGTTCTTGGACAGAAGATGACCAAGGGAGAGGATAAATACTTGGTACATGGACCAAATTTCAGCCAACCTAAGCATGACTAACTTGCATGACAGCCAGGTGTACAGTTATGAGTTTTGGAAGAAGGCAATAAAAGTCTCTGACCATGAACAGGGAAGTGGCAAGAAAGAAGATACCAAATTTTGTATCCCTCTATATATTCTTTTCTTTTAGGCCTAACTCTTATAACTTGCTCTGCATGCATGGAGCCTTCTGGCTGGGCACAAAACTTGCTGAAATCACTAGGTCTGTGCATAGGTGTAAGGATCTGCTCACATGAAATAGGTTGCAAAACAGTGGCCAAATATTTAAACTGCTAGAACAGGCAGTGTCTTTATACCTAGGACAGAGCAAAGCACAACACTGATGCATACTAAATAATAGTGTAGTGTAGGTGAGATCAGAATTTGTGTTTGTGAGAAACCAACCTTGCAAAATTGTCATGAAAGCATATAAACTCCAGTACAAGATCTATGCAGCTGTACTTGCCGATTATGATTAATGATAATGAGGGAGAAACCATAGTGTATATGCCTGAATATAGGGATGTGAATGACTCATTGACTAAAGGTGTCTAGATTACAGAGTTTTTTTCAAAAAAAGTGGCCTTTTTTCGAAAAAACTTCCCCTGCGTCTAGATTGCTGCCACATTCTTTCGAAAGTAAATCGAAAGAACGTGGTAGTTTTTTCAACCTTGGAAAACCTCATTTTACGAGGAAGAATGCCATTTTTCGAAAGTGCTCTTTCGAAAAAAGGCGATATGTAATGCAAACTGTGCTTTTTCGAAAGTACTGGTTGTAGTCTAGATGCTCTTTTTTGAAAGAAGCGTTTTCGAAAGTATCTTTCGAAAAAGCTTCTTTCGAAAGAGGCTTGCAGTCTAGACATTGCCTCATTGACTATCTGATAAACAAATGCTTATTGGATAGTCGACATGCTAGTTGACTAATCACTTCCCCCCCTTGCTGCCTCTATCAGAAAGAGGCAGCAAGGGAGAGGGAAGAAAAGCGGGTGTTTCAAGGTGGCAGTGCCATGTGGAGCCCAGGGTCTGCTGCTATGAAATGCTGCGAAGCCTGGGGCCAGCTGGGGACTGGCCTTCCAGCTGGCCCCAGGCTGCATGCAGCGTTTCAAGCAGCAGCGCTGCATGGAGCCTGGGGTCTGCTGCTTTGAAACACCAAGTGCAGCCCAGGGCTAGCTGGGGACTGAACTCCCAGCTGGCCCCAGGCTGCATGTGGCATTTCAAAGTGGCAGCTCTGCATGGAGCTCAGGGTCAGGTGGGGATTCTGAGTCCCCCGCTGACCCGGGGCTTTATGTAGTGTTGCTCAGGGGTGGATATAGGGCAGGGTGAGAGGCTTATCGACTAAGCGAATAATGGATGCAAACTGCATCCACTATTCGATTAGCCAGTTAATCTAAATGTAATTTCCCTACCGGTATCTACTATGCGCAAAATTGTGCTCTTCTGGGCCCCGCAAAATCCTCATCTGCCCATGGTGTTGCTGCTTTGAACAACACTGGCAGCTCTGGAACTGTTGCTACACTTCAAAGGCTGAGGCTTATCGACTAAGCGAATAATGGATGCAAACTGCATCCACTATTCGATTAGCCAGTTAATCTAAATGTAATTTCCCTACCGGTATCTACTATATATTTGAGAGAGATTTTCTGTGTCTGTCTGTATGCTTGTTCAAGAACTCTTTCGAAGTAGTAAGAGCTAGGACCACCAAATTCAGTACTCAGCTTTCTAACTTCAAGCAAAGTACATTTTCATTATGTTTTCAAAACAACCCAAAACCCTTAATTAAGGACCCCAGCAATGTCAGGTTAATGTCAGGAGAGCGGAGCTTTGCCAGGCGGGTCAGACTCCGCTTTAGGGTGATGTATCAATGGCAGGTTACACAACGGCGTAATCTGCATCTCTGGGTAGGTACATGCATAGCTGTCGCTGTACTGCGCATCACGCAGCCACCTCGCTGAGTAGAAATCGACATAGGAAATGGGCCAGATCCTGCTCTCCTCCCCCTCCTCCCCAGCCCTTGAAATCCAGGGTCTGAGCTGCGGGGCCTTTGTCTCTGCCGAGCCGGGAGA